TAATTTCTGATAACAAAAAATAGAGGCATTGAGGTTTAAGTTTGTTGCTTAGTTTATGTGATGAGTTAAACTTTTTATGGTCCTCATTAATAGTTCCACAATGTGAAAGCATTTTTTGTTTTTACTAAAAAAACAAAAACATTTCAATCAAAACAATTAACCTGAATGAACCACTAATGGTTTTTTTATTACTTATTATTTGGAATATAAATTGTGTTAATGATTTTATGTTTTGTTTTTGGGCAAAGTAAATAATGTCATTACAGAATTTCACCTTAAAGAAACTGTTGGTCCACTTCAATTGTTTGGCATTACTTTCTCATTTCTCTGCAGGAATAATTAAAAAGTTAAATAATTAGTTACTCTACTATAATTAAAAAATTTAAATGGAGAATATGAGTGTTTTTTATTATTCTATATATATTACAAAAAATTTTGGTGAAGATTAGCATGTCCTATGATAATAGACTTTAAAAGATTAATGTTTTAAGTTGCGATATCAGGCTTTCTGATAAGTTGTTTGACGGCTGAACCTGGAATGAGGTTTGGTTTTTTATTTTATAAAAATACTCTCCCAAGCTCGATGGCGCATGAACCATCTCGCCAGATACGGTCGCTAGATCTTCTCTTCTTAAAAATAGTGCAAGCGAAAGCAAAATTAAAAAAGTTGTATATCATATACAATTACACTATATGCGGTCTATTTCATGTTTGCCTTTATCCTTTGGTTTTAAATTTTTAATTTCAAAAATTCATAATCCTGTCGAAATGTACCTCCCTTAAAAATTTAAAACCCTGTCTAAATGTGCCCTCATAATGTTTGATGGAGCAATGAAACCCCCTTCTGGACAGCCCTGCCTCGTGGATTAAAACACTTGATAAATATTTTTTCAATCCTCGCGGATTAAAACACTTGATAAATATTTTTTAATCTTTCAGTGGATAAAAGATATGCCTGGATGAGAGCATTAAGAAGAGTTTCAACAGACCTTGGATGGACTGGTCAACCGAAAAAACTCTTGTTATTATTAACCTAAGAAAATGATGCATTATATTACATTTTAACAATGTCAAAAGAATTTGAACGATAATACCTAGTGTTGTAGAAATTAAGATTAAAAAAAATTGTTTGAAATTTCATATACAATTAGTAACAAAAGTTTCTGGACACTCACGAATTTGATATTGATAATATAATAAAGAAATTAATATTTTTTGGGATTGCCCTTTGCTCTTATTACCTCCTTTAGCCTATTGGACTTACAAGAAACTAGTTTTGAGGTCACAGAAATCTTTCTTTTGGGCAATTTTTCAAGGATATGCTTCTTAAGTTCTTCCTTATAGGTCATTGGGGAATTAAATACCCAGCGACAAGAGTCATTTACTAAGGCGTGGTCCTAGGAATTCTGAGGTATGCATTCCCTGCGTGGGGCCGTCGCTTTACACATGCACAAAAGAAGAAGCTAGCAACTATTCAGAGACTGGCACTTCTTAGGATTACTAATGCATACAGTACAGTCTCGAGATACGGAAACTGGCTAAGGAAATACCTCTGGAATTGATCCTAAATGAAGATGCCATTAAGATCTATTTCAAGAGACAGAGGGCAGAGGATTGGAGGAGGATGTTAGGGGAAGATCCGCTGGAGGAGTGGAACAGGCGGTGGATGACAATGAAGGACTCAACCCCTAGGAAGATCTTTCCCAACATTTATTGAAGATTAGAGACGAGGTGGGTCCAACTTGACTACTAGTGTTCTGAAATCCTTACGGGAGAGGTTTAGTGATAAATTAAATAAGCATGGGAAGAACATTGACCCCCGGTACCCCATATGCAGGGTTCCCGACACAGTGGAACACGCCATGCTGATATTTGCAGAAATGGACCTACACTGGGTCTTGTTCTACAGGAAAATTGGATTATCCAATCTTGGAGAAGATTTCCAAGAACTGATGGGGAAGATAACTACCCCAACTTAATGGTGGAGGTGGAAGGAAGTGGTGGACCCTAAGCACTTCACCCTGGAAGAGAGCGCTCAGCAGAGGAAAGAGAAGAATTGGCACACCAAAGGACATGGAGGGACCAAATGAGTAGAGAGGTGTTGGAAGTAGGAAAAGGAGGCTGGAGACGATTAATAGCCACTAGAGAATAAAAAAAGTTACAACCCCACCAGAAATTGCGCATCCGCGTACCGGGCTGCACTATAGAATACTCTGTCATTGTTGTTCCTAATCATATAAGCATATCCTAAAATATGCCTATACAAAGTGTACAACGATATAGAGCATCGGTGGCAGTGACATGCGCAGACCCCTGTGCAATACCACTGCTGCTGAAAAACTCGTATACCAGAAATGGCTAGGTAGGATGAAAAAAAAAAGAAGGTTAACGGACTCTTCTTGATTTGTCATTTTAGATGATGATAACCCCGTTTCTAAATGGAGTTCATGTCGGGAGATTGAGGGGACTGATAAACCAATTTTGGACAATTATAAAGGCACCAAGTTCGGAGCTTTAGACTAATATGCTTAGGGTCATTGTACTGATAAAAAGTCTCTGAAGATTTTAAAAGCAAACCTCGTCCAAAAGTTACTTCACTAGAATCTGCGACATGTTTTATGAGCAATTTGCTAAGTGAAATCAAATCGTGTACAAATGTTTAAAACATTGTTACAGTTTTATGGATTTTAATTAACAACGCTGTCTCAGAATTCATTATAAATGCCTTATTTTGCCCACCACATTCCATAAGGTTTTATAAAAAATTTAGTCAAATTCGCTCTAAACAAAAAAGGGAATGATTTTACTTCCTTCAACTATTATCTCTCTCGTAAACCTTACTATGCATTGCGGGAAAATTATGATTACTATGAGTATATCACGATCCCAAACTTCCAAATTTTAACATTTGTTTTTTCTTTTGAAGTTTAATGGGACTGTGCTTTAGCCTCACTATGCGTCAGTTCAAATCTGGCCTGGGAGGGTTGAGATTTTTTGCTTTATATGAAGTAGTAGGGCTGAAAGCTGTTCTACACGTACAACCAAATCCATTCTGGCGAGTGGCAAGGCCGAAATTCATTCTATGGGTTCACTACGAAATGAATTTAGAATCGAACTGGCCAGACTGGGGGATGTTAAGAGAATGAGCGGGAAACGCTCGGCCACCACGGACATAATGTTTTTTTTTTATTCACTCCTTCGCATTTTAGGCTATACAGGGTTTTCCCGGGACATCGAAAAGAGCGGAGGATTTATGCTAGAGTTAAAGACCCCTCCTTGATACCGGTATGCGAACTCGTAATTATGTTATCATAACTTCTGTTAATCAGATTGCAAGGCAAGGCATGTTTTGGCACACTCGTTAGCCCGCTCGGCCACCCCGCCTCAGGGTTCACAGGGTTGAAATCTATGTCGTAGCGAAACCACCCCCCGGAATGAATCTCGACTTTTCCACTCTGATTAAACTAGGTTGGTTATACCTCTAATACAGAGGTCTCCAAACTATGGCCAACGGACGGGATCCGGCCCGCAAGCATCTCCGGTCCCGCGAATATTTTTAAGTACATGGTAAAATTTTAAAAACTATCAAAAACATGTGATATTTAGCAAATACTCATACTATAGGTTACTGCATTTACTGCAAACAATTATTGCATGTTTTTTTTTCTCTTAGAAAGCTTATTTCGTAAATAAAGTATCGTTTATGAGACAAGATTTTGTTTTGTTACTAGTCCTAGCCCGCGGGGCTTTGTGAATGTCAATGTGGCACACAGTCAAAAAAGTTTGGAGACCCTTGCTCTAGAATAACACCCTCCCTCTTCCACCCCACGTAAAATGAGAAGAAATTTTCATTATGAGGACAAATAGTTTTTGTTCAATCCTTTTGTGAATACAGAGCTTTCGTATCCCGGAATAGTATGGAAGCGACATCCACATGAATGTGATTGAATCTCAATATTTGAGATATTATTTCTTTTTTGCAATTACATGTAGGGAACACAAATGATTCCTTTCCATCATTTTACAATCATTTTAAACTGGCCATTAAAAATTAACCAGATTAATCAAATTTTTAATAAACTTGTTCGGTTGAAAGTTATGAATTTTCAAAAATACGACAACGAATATACATTTTATTTTTTTTAATAATCTATTAATATTTTAAATATGGAAAATATTAGAGTGACATGTTTCTGCTTTCATCACGTTGTTATCAGCAGTGACGAGGAACCTGGAGTTTACATATGCGAGTTACTTTCTAATAAGGAGGAACTCCAGAATAGAGATTACTACCGAAGTAGCAAGAGCCACTTATCCTGGTAACGTCCTAAAACCAAATGGTCAGAGCATGACAAGAGTCCGATTAAGTGGTTGCCCTTGAAGAGCATGGGACTCAAAGCCAGACTAATAGTAATAAAGAGACTTAAGCTGAAATTCAATTGAGTTCCTTAAGATTTCAGCAGGGCTTTCCAGAAAGGTCTCAAACCACGAGATAAAGGAAAAACATGGAACAGACCAATAGCGGGTCCAGAGTTTATTTTTGGTGGGGGGCTTCAGCCCGAAAGTTTTTTTTAATAATATATATAACGATAATTACTTCGAAAAAAAAAAGAAAGATACTAACTACCTATATGAAATGATGTTTAAGTGATTCTTGAAGTCCTATTAAATGTAATTAAACGAAAAATAATACTTTAAAAGATAATTTTTTCCATAAAACATGGTTACACTTAACCATTTTGGGGAAGAGGGCTTCAACCCGAAAGCATCTTCCCCCCGTAAATCCGCCTGTGGAACAGACCTCAGCAACTTTAATTGTATATGATCTACGATGCTTTTAATTCAACTGTTTTTAAGAAGAGAAGTGCAATAAAATATGGGAAGAGGAAGGAGCAGGTTTATGCTCCATCGAGGGGATGTGAGATAGGCATCCTTAAATTGGAAAACATCTAAGTGATTCGGAAAAATCAATTCCTCCCTCTACCCTCGAGAAAGGAAGCTTTAAGTGTATGTGAAATCCTCGTGAGAGATTTTCGTGTATTGCAAAATAGAATCGTCGTGTATTGCAGATGGGAGAAATGTATACTAGACAGTTCCCTTAATTTGGTTACATGATCATTCCTTTCTCTTTTGTTTGAAACTATCATTTGGCACTATGTAATGTTGTTTTTCTTCGTTCATTCTCAGAAAATTTCTATTTCTAAATGGAATTTTAATTTTTAGTCACTGATAGACACGCATGGCGATTATAATTGGAAAATTTAAGGAGTCATTTACGGTTTGTAACGCTGTCACAGTAATTATAATGACAAGATTAAGTCTACATCATTTTTGGATTTTAGATACAAAGCAAATATTTCTTATTAAGTCAAGTTTCATTAAAACAGAAAGTTCATGATTATTATTTATTTTAAGTTCTTTGGAAATATCTCATACTGATAAGGACTGAGATTATTGTCAACAAATTGTTGACAACAATGAATTGAGACCTGGTTCAGATATAATTTCATGGAGTTTGCTCTAAAAGTGATTCCATTTCTCTTTATCTTAATTTCGGTTATGTGTTATTATTTGTTTAATAAGGAAGTTGTACTTATTGACTATTGTGAACATAATTCCAAAAATTTAATATTTAATGAAGAACTTTGCAATGATATACTTCAAGGAAATATTACAATTGATAAAAATTATTTCCAGATGTTCATCAACTTATTTTCAACTAAACCCCTTTTTCGAGGAAAATTCAATAACAGCAGTGTGGTTTTAAAAACAACAGTTTCAGTAGACCATGTAAAGAAACTGGAGAATGACTTTTTAAGAATATTTACGAATGTATCAAAAGATGACAATAGTTTATTGTTTGTTCAAATGCAAGTTCATTCATTAATCAATATACCTTATGGTTCACCTGAGTTCTCTAAGTTGAGACTATGTCCCGTTAATAGCAATGTTGAAAGGTTTTTTAATAAAATCTCTGGATTCTCTCATGAAGTTCATGATTATCTTCAATTATGGACCATTTTAAGTTCTAATCCAGAACCATTGATTATGAAGGTATTTATCAATAAGTCTATAATTTTTTTTTAAACCCTTTTCAAGTTCATTACAATTTTGTTATATTTCTTAGATGTTAGATCCGAAAGTATGGCCAGTTCCTCAGTATTTTGGGAGCTGTGGTCAATTAATTGTAGTTGAAGACTGTGGCCTAACTTTAACAAATTATTATGATTCAGATTGGGACATAAGGGCAAATTTATCTTATCAACTTCTTGAAAACGCTGTTAAATTTACTTTTCAAGATCCTGATTTTGCCTACTATATGACAGACATTAGCCCTGATAATATCGCTGTTACTCGAGAAGGAGTTGTGAAATATATTGACCTCGAACATTTTATTCTAATTGACAAGAACAGTAAAGGTAATTATAATTTTTTTTTTAAATTTCAATTCAATGGATCAAGCTCAAATCTATTTTGAAATTTCAAATAAGTAGCTTGAGCTAGGAAATTTCATTATTTAGCTTTTGTTCTAACTTTTTTGTATCACTAAGCATGTAAGTATAGTTTTAAATTAAATATTACTAGTTCACATGTATAATACCAACATGAAGACTGGAACAAAATCACATCAATCACACTGTAGAAGGGATTTGAACGTGTCCGAGAGTAGACCCAGCCTTTTCTTAGTATAATGTATGAAAGGTATTTGATGATGGAAAGGATCCATCTTTGATGATAAGGAACCTGCTTTGTATGATCCCCAAACAAAAGGGACCCAAGGTTTTGCATATCTCATGGGTGAGAGCAAGTTGACAGCCATAATCTATTTAAAACAGTAATAATTTTAATAACCATTAATAATACTAATTAACCTTATATTATGTCTAAGTGAGGACACACCTGTGAACATAGTTATCAATACTTACTACTTGTAATGTCCATTTACAGTGTTTTGGTAGTGATCTTGGTCCAGTGGCCATGTTGATAATACTTGTGAAGTAGTATCAAATAAATAAAACATGATTAAATGAAGTAATATAATTTTTATTTATATTTTATTATTAATTTTATATAATTGGGATAATTATAAACTCAATGAGATATTTGAAGACCGAGCATGTTGAATGTGAAGTATACTCTTATGGCATCTATTTATTTGCTATAAATAAGGTATAAATATAAGTATAAATATAAGTCAGCTAAGAGTTCTTTTATTGCCGTCTCATGTAATGAATCTGATTTGAAGATGGTATCATTTTAGTACACATTCATATTAACTAAAAACTGGTATGTCTTTCTTCTAAATATACTCCACATTCTAAAATATGTAAATAATCCCTAAAATTTTTATTTAATGTTGGATAAAAGGATTAGATCTCTACACTCAAAGATAGAAGAGATCATCAAATATGAAGAAGGAAAAAATAATTGTGATAAATAATATTTTTGTTTGAATATTATTTAGAGTAAATAGATCAAGAATAATAGATAGATCAGGGCCAATTGCAATATACACATTGTCTGTCAACCTGATGAATCAAAATTATGAATTTGAGTTCCTGTGGTGGAAGCATTTAACTCTGGTATTAATCCTCCTACTTCAGGAAAAACCCCGTATAGCCGAAAAGGTGGGGTATTAGAGAAAAAAAAGAAGAAGAATATTGTTATTCTTTTTCATTAAGTCATTCTAAATAAACCATCTTCTCTTGGAATTCAGATAGAATAGAGTTAAATTCCATAGTGAGGTGGTAGATGGAGTTTTAGCTTAAACTAATATTAAAAAAAATCAGAAATCATCATTTTCTCACTTATAAACAAAATTCACCAACTCACCTAAGTAAAAAATCTTTTAAACTAAAAGAAACACTATACAGGACAAATCACCCCATTTAGGTGGTCGGTGGGTCAAGAGACATGTTAAATAACGTTATTAACCCAAGACTTTTGCAATGGTGGCTCCCATGGTTAAATTTATTAATTAAATAAACAATTTTTTAAAAATAAAAATAAAATACATTCCTGAATCTTTTAATAACAAATTGGATTTAAAATATTGTTTTTTTCAGTTGGCTTATTTTTTCTCATTAGATCTAATGAAAATATTATTCTACTATAATTCAATATCAGAAAACAAACATGCAATCAGACTTCACTCTATCAATCCCAATATCATTCGCTCTATAATTCCTAGTCCTCTCATAAATATTGTTACAAGGAAATATATACAGATTTCAACAGAAAAATGAAGTTTTTTCAAAAACTTTATTAGAAAATAAAACTTAAATCTATAGAGAGTAAAACAAAAATAAACTACCCTTTTACCTTGACACAGGCATAATCTCCGTGGCCAGTCATCAATAGCAGCACACAGCACTTCTTGAGGAAAGCGCTCAACTCCTCGGACCAAAGATTGTTTGAGGCTTTCCAAGTTAGGATGTGCTCTGTGTGCTCCATCCTCTCAGTTAGGACCAAAGCTGATAATCTAGTGGGTTGAGATCAGAGCTTCCCGAGGGCCAATCCGAGGCAGAGACGAACTCTGGAATATTCTTTTCCAGTCTCTGCTGAGCTGACCTGCCCTTGTGAACTGGAGTGGAATCCTGCTGGAAAACCCAATGACTTCCAGCAAATAGTGTATCATTTAGAGGCTTGACAACAGGTTCCAAAATATTGTCCTGATCGTTTTTAGTGGCTGTTTTAACTCTTTTTTTTTTCTCACAAAAATGGAGCTTTGTGGTTCCATCAAATCAAACTCCTCACCAAACCATCACTGAGGAAGGGTGATGACCTCTTTCCACTCTTTCAATGACTTCCTGGACTATTTTAGACCTGTGTGTGTACACATGATCATTTTGGCCATTCAATTTTTCTCCAATTGTAAAAATTTTCTCATCGCTAAACAATACCTTTCGATGAAGACCATTGCTGTAACATCCGTGGAGCACTTTGCATTTATCCATTCTATTTTTTTTTTAGCCAAGTGGTTAACCTTTGTTCTGTCAATCTTCAAAATGCACCCATTCGAAGGTCACTTTTTATTATGCGAGCATTGATCTGACAGAGATTCCCATTTCCCGAGACTTTATTTGTTGTTTTCGAATTGGATTTCTTTTGATTCGAGCAGCCACTGCTCTCACTGTATTTGCTGTTGTCTCACAGTGCGGGGATGGCCCGGTTTAGGTCTGTCACATAAAGATAGGGTCTCATTATATCTATTTATAGTGCGGTTTACGGACATACGGCTGATAGCAAAGGTTTCAAAGTGTTGAAAATCTCTGACCTACATTTTCCAGCTTTGTGTAAGGCAATGACAGCTGTTCGGTTTTCTTTATCATTCCACTCTATGTTAACTGAGCAAAAGAAAAATACAAACTAATTGGGATTATTATCCTGACATGCAAAGAAAATAACCTGGTAGAGGTAAGGATTATCTAAATAATACCCAAGGATGTAACCAAAGTTCAACTTTTGTAACAGTATTTATAGCAGAACTAGGTAGTTTCAATATTTTTTCACATTAATAATACCATATTTAATGACTACTCTAATGATAATGGTGATCATATAATTAACTTTGCAATGGAAAAGAAACTGGCCACCAGTAGTATGAAATTCCCACGCAACGAGATCTGCAAGAAAGAGAGAAAGAATCTCGCCAGACAGTCTAACTAGAAATCAAATAGATCATGTTCTCATAGAATCTAGCCTTGCATTGGATATCAGAAACATTAAAGTATTTATGGGAGCGGACTGTGATACTGACCATCATATGGTAAAAATCTATTATCGACGAAATCTATCCATTGGAAGCTGTAGCATGACAGAGGGTGGAACACAGGTCTGGTGTCAGAAAAAGAGAATGAAGATGGTTTCGGCAAAGACTCAGGCCATATTACTGAACGGCTCCACAGATAGGGATCATCCTATCAGTCTCAGAGTCAGAGGAGAGAGAGTCCGCCTAGGTGAGGAGGTTACCTGCCTAGGTGTGAGGTTTAAGACGAAGTTCAACGTCTCTCCCCAGATTGAACATCTGCGGAATAGTGTAATCTATCACTGAATGACCTGACAAAGATAGGGGATGGTTTTTGGGGCCTCCAATACCCAGCCACGAGCGTCATCTACAAGAGAGTCGTGCTGGGTATATTGAGGTATGCGTATGCAGCGTGGAGCTGCAGCCTAAATCAGATCCATAAGAGGAAGCTGGCCTCCATCGAGGGACTTGCCCTGCTGAGGACAACAAAGGCCTATAAGCGATGCAGGTGCTAGCCAGAGCGATGCCCCTGGACCTAATCCTCAAGAAGGATATAATCAAGTTCCATTTCAAGAGACAGGGACTGGAGACGCTACCGGAGGGGCTCCGTGAGAGAATCCAAACTATTGGAAAAGGATTATCAGGAAGGAATCCATTAGAGTGGAACAGACAGGCAGTAGGTGACAAGGGTCTACTCTCAGGAAGTTCTTCCCCACCGTCCAGGCAAGATTAAATGCGACATGGGACCTCCCTGATTACTGGATCTCATAGTATATGGAGGGTTCCGGGGAAAACTGGTGGACCATGGAAAGATTATCGACCCCAGTACTCTTCCTGCAAAGTTCCTGACAGCAGAACATATATTGGTATCCTGTGCCGTGACAGAGGGATACCGTGCAAAATTGATGAAAGGGAGGGAGTATACCCTCATAGAGGAGGATTCCCTCCACCTTGTTAAAAAGAGAAACTACCCATTCCTTAGGGGTTTGTGTATGGGTGGAGGGATGTGATGGGCCCTGCTCATTTCTCCGTGGGACCGGCAAGAGTTCCACCCGAGGAGGTGTTAGAAGAGGAAGCACGTTGAGGAAGGACCGGACGAATACAGTGTGGATTAGGAATGGCCCCATCACTTAAGTGCACACCTTTACCAGGCCGCACCACAGTGAACCCAGTGGTTTCATTGTTCCTTAAATCAAATTATCTTAAATTATTGTATAAAAATAAAAATGATCAATAAAGAGTTGTTTATTGGCAGCAGTGGGCATATGAGTACCCCAACGTAACAACCCACTGCTGCCAAAACTCTGTATGGCAGTAATGCCTGGTAAAGTAAAAAAAAAAAAAATCTACAATTCAGAAAAACTACTCAAAATTTAAGTAGCGAAAGTATTCAAAAACAAAATAACATAAGGTATAAAGAGGGAAGAGATTGTACAAAACACAATATTGGTAGATAGGAAAAAGTGAAAAATGCAGTGACAGAAAGTGTAAGAGAGGTACTTGGGAAGAAGGAACCAACTCCAAGAAATAACTGGTTTGACAAAAGAAATAGGGTGAGGTTAAACATGTTGAAGAGAAAGACCAGAGAACGCAGAGAGGAATTCATGACTTAGGAAGTGAGTACAGAAAAGCTTTAAGGGATCACAACTTTAGGTCTGTTGACCAGCTCCTTGGAAGTCTAGTCACATGCAATAATAAAATAGATAGTGAAATAAAGGCCAGGATAGTAGCAGAAAATAGATGCTATTTCTCACTGCAAGGTGACTTGAAATTCAGATCACTCTCTAAAAGAATCAAAATTCTCATCCACAAAACCATAGCAAGGCCAGTGGTTATGTATGGGTGTGAGATTTGGACCTTAACCAAAACCTCAGAACGCACACTCAACTCCTGGGAGAGGAAAGTATTGAGAAGAATATGGGGTGGAATCTTTGAGAATGGAATTTGGAGAAGAAAGAATGAGGAGCTGTGGGGACTTTAAATGGTGAACCTGATATTGTGGCATTGATAGAAAGAGCCAGAATCAGATGGTTAGGTCATGTGGAAAAAATGCCAGACCAAAGAATGCCAAAAAGAGGATGCTGTATTAGAAGCCAGAGAGCAAAAGAAGTAGAGGGCGCCCTCGGATCAGATGTGGAGGATGATCTGAGGCGGCTAGGCGTTAGAAGATGGAGAGAAGTATCACAAGACAGTGGAGATTGGTTGGCTGTAGTGGAGGAGGCCTGGGCTCTTGCAGGACCGTAGCGCCATTGTAATTATAATAATAAAAAATAATATCATCTGTAATATTGACTGTGTAAGAGCCACTTTTGCTCAAATGAATACACCAAACACTGTTTCACTTTGATTTATGGCATCAGTCTAATCTCCCTAAAGTGAAGTATCTAGGATTTGTTTATTTCCTGAACAAGTGTAGAGATTGAAAATCAGTAACTGTGGTGTAACTAAACCTTTTATCAACTATCATCAATTATACTGAAGGAGGAAACAAATTCTTAGTTTTGATTATAAAACTTCAGGTCAATGCTGCCAGGACCATCCTGGGTTTTTGAGTTTGATGAAGTCAGCTATTAGATTCATTCAAGAAAATGTAAAATTTTTATATAAATATTGTATATTTTGTTGGTGAGTCTGTGCTTTTGCTATCTGGTTGACTATCTGTTTTGTGAGATTCTCCTTATTAGGCTGAACTTGTTCTTCTTGTTTCTTCTGAACTTGTTCGCTTAACCTTTTAGCGACGATGAGCGGGAAGGGTGGAGTGTCCTTGAGTATGGAAAAATACTTTTCATCACCTTTACTGACCTCTTATGCATTTTTTATTTAAGGCATCATTAAAAAATACCCATAATCTCCAGTCACAGAACAATTACCTACTTCCTCATGGGAAATCCGCGAGATAGTTTAAAAGTAGAATTAATCACTGGAAAGTACCTGGACCCGTTTCCCTCTCGACTCATGTATGAGTCCAACCAATTTAACCAGTTGTTAAAGGGTTAAAAGGGAGTGGGGTAGTTCAGTGGTAGGGTAGCTTCCAATGCTAAAGATCCCAGGTTCGAACCCCGGCTCATGGCAGAAAATTTATTTATCTGTTTCATTTTCCGTCGGGAGACCCTCCTGGGGCACACCTAGCCTCGATAAAGTGTGTACCCTTAATTAAATAATTAATTAAGGATGAAAACCTGGTGGTTGAGCGTGGTCTCGGTCAAATCACCTCCTTACACAACCGTTGACCTAGAAACAGTGCTTTCCCTAAATATTACTGAACCCAAGACTCTTCATGGGTTGTAGTGGTACAGGTTTTTTTAAATTTTTTTTAAAGGGGTTAAATATCCATCCTATTCTAGCAGATCTGGAGTTCCCTCTCTCTAGTTGTTTAAGAATGTTTCTAACTACCTATCACTCTTCTTCTTTGACATGACGGCAGTTCTCAAGGATTAGCCCCAGTTTATGAAACACTTATTCAGCTAGCATTACCTATTTTCTATTCTCACACCTGCTGAGAGGTACTTTTGTGAATTAGTTTCAGATGTATGCTGACCATCAACCTCAATATTCTACTCTAATCTTAGCAGGTAATGAACACATGCATGTCTAAACTGGATGTAGTGTTATTATTGAACTGGGTGATCTGTTGGTATCGGGTAGATGGTTTGTAACAGAAAATTCTTATTTAGGAGTACATCTAGCAAAAACTGCTCCACAATTGAGGTTGTTTAGAGTATAAACTTGAAGTTATTTAAAAATAATTATTTTACATATTAGATTCCAGAATACATTCCAAAATTATTAATTCATAATAGCATATCCACAGTGTCTAATCTTTAATTTTTTTGTTTCAAGTTTCATATAAGGCTATTCTCTGATTTTGCATGAATTTTGAGATTCCCATTACAAAAAAAAAAAAAAGTGTAAATGTATATATATATATATTTTTTTTTACGATAAATTTTAAGATGAAATATTAATGATACTGGGCATGCTTGATCGTGATTGAATTGAAACCATCATGGTGAGGAAATATAACGCTTCTTTTCCTTTTTATCTCCTAGTTGTCATGAGGTGTGGATGTATAGCCTTGACCCATCTTCTCCAATTGTCTTGATCATTCATCATATCCTTAATTTCTATAGAGAGCAGCTAATCCATATAAATCTATCTTGACCAGAATGCTAATCAGGAAATTAAATATGAAATACTTGTCATTCAATCCATGATTAGTTTTTATCAATTAAAAATAAATTACTAATGAGCATTATAGAGGAATTATATAAATGTCCTATACATAACAGATGAATTTATTAGTCGCAAACTACAGAAGAATTGAATAAATGACCTATACATTACAGGTGAATTTATTGGGTCCCAAGCTATAGTAGAATTGAATAAATGATCTATACAAAACAGATGAATTTATATTTATGATTACATTAAAGTACAAGATTATAAGATGAATATATGAGTTTTGAGGATAAATTTAAAATCCCTTTATATCTCTAATTGGCATAAAGTACTGCCATATAGTCTAAAATTTTTCAAATTATTCATAATTACTTGCCTTACCCAGCAATGTTGTATCACTGTGGGATCTTTAAGGTCTACATCCACCAGTCCTCACATAAAATCTATTTCCTTCACTTTTGGTCATGTGAGGGAAATAGATATTTGAAGTTTCATTGAGATCAAATAATCCCCACATATCTCCCAATAAAAAATAGAAATTATGCACTGGACTCCTGATGAAACACATAATGTAAAGAAAACTTGAGTTGAATATACCTTCTACCATGTGAAGGAAATAGAATTGAAAATTAGGAGGCTCTAGCAAAGGCAATAAACATTAACTGGAGAACATCATTAGAGAAGGTAGATGTAAATCAGATTATTCTTAGTTTTGAAGGAATCTCCATGCAATTTACCATGGATTTGTATTAATTGGCAGTCCATATATCTAAATTATTATATCATATATAAATTAAAGCTAATCTTTATCCCTTTCTATTGGTGGTTAATTCAGTGAATATGGTTAAATATAAATGACTATGGTCATGTGTGTAGTATGATATTTCACTACAGATATTAAATATAAGCTTATAATTAATATAAGTTTATTAATAATTGACGTAATAAACTTATTTTTTTTACTATTAATTAAAATGATTAATACTAAAGCATTAGCATAAATAAATAGATATTCAACTAATATTAATTTATTTAGGAAGCAGCCGATATTATATTGTATGAATTATTGCACATTACTCAGTTGCACTTTGACAGATAGCAGTATGGCTGTTAGATATCAAGATGTTATGAATTGGAAATTTTATTCTAAATCTTGATAATTAGAGAAACTATGATCAAAGGTAATTATTTTAAGAAATCAGAGTGTGGCATATTTTTAGTGTTAATTATTAATTTTAAAGCTTTTAATTGTAATTGTGGGATATATAGTGTACAGTATCAAATTCTTCTAACATTTGGAAACCATTATTTAAATGTTACATTGAAACAACACCAACTTTGTTTCCATTTTATTGAACTGCTTTGTAATCTTACTCTTTAATCTTCTTAGTTCTATTGTGTTTGTTCTTAAAGTAGGTTTGTAGTGATCAGCTCTATGGACTACGATGATTCTTTCAGTAGATTTCTAATTCCTTTATCGACATTTATTTTTTTCTGTAAATTCTTCTGATATTAAATGTTAAATGACATATCCTTTTTTTTGCTTTTCTTTTTAGGAATCTAATTTCAAAGATCTAATTAATCGACTTTTACAATTTGGTCATTTTTTTTTTATTCAACAAATGGAGTAGTAATTGGTGCAGATATCTTGTAGATGGAATCTTTATTAGCAGTCTTCCTATTGGTCTATGTGGTTAGTGCTTTGGTGCTGAATTTTTATTTTATATAGTGTTAAATTTTATTAACACTATGTGTGATCCGATCAGGATCTTCTGAATGAACTGTGGTCTCTATAAGTACTTTCGGAAGCCACTAACTCTGGCCTAAGATTATCTATACTGATAGTTGCTGTTATATATAAGTGTTGCTTGAAGTTACATTCAAGAGCATTAATTGGTGAGGTTAGGCACCTTCAGCCAATGATTATGGTGGATTGCAAATAGTATGCTTGGAAAACAGTTGCATGATTCAAGAATACAGGAAGGGTCGGTTCTCGATTTGGCTCGTTGAATATTGATGATTCTTGCAGAAATGCCTTTTGGATATCTGAGATCTTCCTTTTAATTTGAAAACTGAGTGCTACCAATGGGTAGTTTCTCATCAATAGTTTTCATGTGATTATATTTCTCTGTACGTATTTACTTGATATATTTATATTAATACATATGTAAATATCATAAATAAAAAAATCTGAAAACATGATATTGCTTATCTGAATGTTTAATAGTCGGCTTACAGTCTACTTTATTTAACTTGTTTTGGGCTTCTAACTCTTTGGCTATCTTGTGCCTGATGGGGATTAGTGTTAGCTTAGCAGTTAGTGTTGATATAGCTGCCTGCTTTTGCTTCTTTGATGAATTTTAGTGTTAAGTTCAACTTTTAAACCTTCTTGATGGCTTGCTATAGCTTATAACTGTGATCATCTGCAAAGCACTTCTCTATGTTTGTAGATTTATTGTAACATATTTAGAACTTAACTGAATTATGCTTTTTAATAAAAGTGAAGAAATAAATAGAAAAGAAAGATAAGGTAGTTAATATGAAAAGAAGAGGAGTAAGTAAGAATCATTTAGCAAATTTAAGGAAAGAAAAGACATAGAAGAAACCAATCAACCGCTAAATTGTATTTTAATTTGATCACTGTCACTACAGTGACTTAGTTTATTAGAGTTTTATTGTGACACCTCAAACCAGAATCTGATGATTTAATTCTGGCCTATATTGTTTGACTTTTATTTGCTGGCAGACTTACAGGACGAATCTTGCCTTTCCATTTTGCCATAAATAGGTTGGTAACTTGAACATGAAAGCCATGTAAATAGAGCGTTTTGCTTAAATATGTTTTTCCCTCAAAACTATGTTTGCTAATTTAATGATTTTATTTAATTGAAAATATTCATTCTTTAACAATACTTTTTTTTAATTGTATAATTTCCTGCCTATAGAAATTCCCTGTAGAATATATGTTAAAACCATAAAAAAATGCACGTTTTCCAGTTTTCATATGGCTAACTGTATATATATATATTGTTTCCCTGAAGCAAAAGCCTTAGAAAATTCAGTTTTTAGCTTGGCTTCATCATTTCCTAGCTTTCTGTATGAAATTTGAATAAATTAGTTTTATTAAAGCTCCCATACCTGTAAACCATTTGCATTTTACGAAGGTGGCTAATATAAAAAGCTCAATAAGAATTTAAAATAAATCAATTTATTATTTTTAGGGCCAGATGATTGGTTGGTCAATCACACAAGTAGGCATTACGATTGCTCTAATTGCTTAACATTTGAACCAGATGAAATATGCTCTCATCAAGTCAGTGATCATAATATTTACGCTGTGTGTAAGGTAAAAAATAATTAGCTTTATCAATTTATTTATTGACTACTTCTTACTAAAGTTATGAGTTTTGATTCTTTTTTTTATTTTAGGAAATTTTATCTGATAGTGAGTTGCTGCCTGGAGGTTTTCTTCATTCTGTGCCTGTACCACAATTACATCTTATCAACCATTTTATTGAAGAATGTATTCAGCCAAGGGAATTCTCCAGATTTGAAACTGCAGAAAGAATTATGTATTTACTGCAAAAATATATTTAACACCTCATACTTAATGTAAAAGTAATTTTATATGAAACCTGTTTCCAAGTAACATAAATATATTTGTGATTTATATCTTTTACTAGGTTAGTCATTATTTGTTTAAGATGTTAACATATTTTAGTGACTAATTAATCACTAATAAATTGGACCCATATTTATCCAAAAACAGGGTGTCCTGTAAGTAGAGGGAAATTTTCATAGTAGCGATAGCAGATCTCATCCCTACAAAAAAGTTTATATAAACAATGGACCTATTTTCAGCAAAAAAGTAGGAAATCCAAGTTTTGTGTTTTTTTAAGTGTCATGTTTTTTGTTAAATAGGAAGCAATAGCTAATGAAATATTTAATTTAAGTAATTAACAATTGCTTCATATTAAACTAGACAAAATTTACTTCGAATATAAATAGAGTTTATTATCATTAAAACACAGATCTTCTGATCATAGCACAATTTTACGAGAACTGTCAAAACACCCTTTCACAAAATCTAAACCCCCGACATTAATTAATGGCTTCATAAACTGGGACGACTTTAACAACAAAACTATACTAAATACTTCATTAATACAGCCGACGAACTTGACAACACAGTCAACGACTTTACGAATGCATACACAATACGATTTGGCTTTTGACTACACCGACGAGGTCACCAACCAAAACTGATACTTACCTGCCTCAGGCTATACGAAATCTCATAAAAGAAAACACAGAACTAGAGCTCTGTGGCAAAGAAGCAGATACCCATCACACAAAACAGCTCTTATCAGACTAACCCGAAAACTCCAACAAGAACTGTCAGCATTAAAAAATAACAGATATAAGGACTACCTAAATTCAATGAATAATAGAAACGGATCAATATAGACAGCAACAAGACTTAAGACAAAAGATGTTCAATATCCTCTCTGACGGACAGACAATACCTGGGCCCACTAGTGGATCCAGGATTTAATTTTGGGGGAGGCTACAGCCCAAAAGATTTTTTTTTTTCGTATACATATAACGATAATTAATTTGAAAAAAAAAAAGAACGAAATTAATTACCTATATGAAATGGTGTTTAAGTGGTTCTTGAAGTCCTATTAAATGTTATTAGGCGAACAAGAATACTTTAAGAGATAATAATAATAATAATAAGGCTTAGCGAACCCGAAGGTTCGATGCCGACACCACCAATCCCTTGTTACACACCTCCCTCCACCGTTCGCCATCCAAACCCAGTCCCTTCAGATCGGCTTTCATGCAATCTTCCCACCTTCGCTTCGGTCTACCCCTCGGACGCTTACCATTCGGCACAGCACATATTAACCTTTTAGGAATTCTCTCGTTACTAAGCCCAACAACTTTACAAGCCCATTTGATTCGCCGCGATGAAATTATCTCAATTATATTACCCGGATACAGCTCACGCAATTCGGCGTTGTGTAACCGTCTGAACTCTCCGGTTAACTCATTCTTCTTCGGTCCGAATATTCTACGCAATACTTTATTTTCAAAAACCTTAAGACGCTGCTCATCCCTTAATGTAAGCGGCCAAGTTTCGCATCCATAAAGAACTGTAGGCAAGATAATTGTTTTATAGATTCTAATTTTTAAGTTTCGGGACAAGAGGCGCGAACTAAGTAGTTTTGTCACAGAAAAATAACAAGCATTCCCCGCCTTCAATCTAACCTTAATCTCTTCTTCAATTTCGTTTTTTCTAGTTATCGTAGAACCTAGATACCTAAATTTATCTACCTGTTCAAACATATTACCATCTATATCGATATCTCCAGTAGTATCGCCATTTTTGCAGCTAACCATATATTTTGTTTTATCGACGTTTATTTCGAGTCCTAGTTCTTTACCGGTTTTCATTAACGTTGTCGTATTTAGTTTTATAGTTTCAACGTCTTCGCTTAACAGTACCAGATCATCAGCATAGCCCAGCACGGATGTTGTCCCGCCCAGATCCAACCCTTTCTCGGTTCGCATTACCTCCCTAACGGCATGTTCTAATGCCAAATTAAACAGGACAGGCGAAAGAGAATCCCCCTGTTTTAAGCCCGAACGAACCTCAAATTTTTCGGACAAATTATTACCGATTCTAACTTTATTGAGTGTCTCCGTCAAGCACATCCTGACTAGATTTACTAGTTTTTTTGGAATCCCCTGCTCGATTAGAATATTATACAGTTTCTGGCGGTCAATAGAATCGTAAGCCTTTTTAAAATCTATATACAGCTGGTGAACAATACCGTTATACTCCAATTTTTTCTCTAATATTTGCCGTAAAGAAAATATTTGATCAATAGTCGAACGATTCCGTCTAAATCCGCATTGGTAGTCTCCGATAATTTCCTCGGCGTATTCAGTGACTCGACTGGTTAAGATTAAAGTGAATATTTTATAACATACCGGAAGGAGTGAAATTCCTCGATAGTTATTACAATCCGTCCTCGGATCCTTTTTGTGAATCGGAATAAGAATAGATTCTTTCCATTCTTCAGGTAATTTCTCGTTCACCCAGATCTTTTTAACCAACCGATGTATTTTAGAAACTCCAACTTCCCCGCATGCCTTAATTAGTTCAGTAGGAATATTATCGATTACCGCTGCTTTATATGATTTTAATTTTCCGATAGCTACTTCAACTTCCTCTTTACTTGGTCCTTCTATTAACGGTTCAGCACTCTGGTACTCAGAAGGAGGACACAGATCATAATTTCCCGTATTTAAAATATTGTCAAAGTGGTCCTTAAACTTATTCAATATGTCAACCGGATCGGTCAGAATATTGTTATTATCATCCCTAATTCCAGACGTTACGGGCCCTACATATTTACGTGACCTGTTTATACCTTTGTACATGTCTCTTATGTTATTTTGGATTCTATTAGTTTCTATTTCAATTATTTTATTTTTAAGATACTCCCTTTTTTTATTTTTGAGCAATTTTGTCGTTTCGTTCTTGGAAGTATTCCAGATTGTCTTCGCTAGGATTATTTAGAGCTTTTAATTTAGCGGCTTTTCTTTTTTCACACATGTTTAAACAATCCTCATCAAACCACGGTTTGTTATTCTTATTTTCACTTTTGACTTCATCGTCACTGTCTTCGGTCGGACAATGTATGTTTATTAATGCGATTTTAAACCAACGTCCCTGAAATGTAGCTACCGAAATTCTATCACTAAAGAATTGTACGTCCCTCAAAGCGGATAGTAATCTACTCCTAATTAGAAACCCGGTACCTAAACAATGATTCCCGCTTCCTCCGTACCAAATAGTGTACTTCCCTTCCCTCATCGAGCCCTCCCCTGGCCAGCGAACCTCTTGCAGAGCCACGACATCCAAATTGTACCCATTTACCTCATTCGCGACCGATTTTAGCCCCCCTGCTGTGTTTAAACTCCTTACGTACCACGTACCAATATTTAAATCCCTATATTTCAACTTGTGCCATGAATCCCCTAAAGCAGTCCCCACCCGGAGACCCGAACGGGGGACTAGTTTACTTCCGGATAATGAGCGTTTTACCTTAGGAAGATCCATGACGTTTTGTGGTGTTTGGTGAACTAAAGATATGTGAGTAGGGCGTTCAATCCTACGTCACACCCTCCAGCAAGTCTGGTGGGCCCCTACCTCCAGCAAGTCTGGAGGGCCCCTCTCATTGTTGGTCAGCGAGTCCATCGGACTTAGCCGGGAGGAACTTCCAAGGAATTTCCACCGACCATCCCCACATCCGCCACCCGTGGGACGCTCCCCATACGCGGTAATGAGCCCGCGCGAGGACTTTAAGAGATAGTTTATCATATTTTTTTCTGTAAAACATGGTTATATTTTACCTGTTATATTTTACCATTGCCCCCCTGTAGATCTGCCTGTGCCTGGGCCATAACAGGCGAAGAAAAAGCTAACGAATTCGTAAAACATCTTGCTCAGGTTTTTGCGACGAATAATATTCAGGACAACATGCACAATACCAAGATTGAAGACAATCTGACAAGCCCATTACCCTTATCACCACCTTCGCCAGCATTTCACCCAAAAGACATTTAAAAGGAACTCAACTTTCAAACAAAAAAAACTCCTGGCTATGATCTTATCACTCCCTTCATCCTTCGCCATCTACCCAGCAAAGCTAATATCTTTCTTACTCATCTATAATGCTATCTTATATATAACTGATTTCCCTATCCTTTATCAAAATCAATCGCAGAAAGTCATGTTAGCTTCTCCCTGAGGAAGATCTCGTGTCCTGCTGTGACAATAGACAATAAGCTAGTTCCCTCAAAAACACATGTACAGTATCTCGGACTTTACTTGGACAAAAAACTCACCTGGTATATTTAAAATAAATTAAAAAAACAAGAACTGACCAGACAATACAAACATTTGTCACATCTTTTGGACTACAGATCTCCACTCATCTTACTAAACAAGCGACTAATCCACACCACCATACTAAGACATATTTGGACATACGGAGCAGAACTTTGGAGTTCCACAAAACACACACACATAAATAAAATTCAAACCACACAATCCAAAATACTTCGTAAAATCGTCAATGCTCCTTGTTTTATTTCAAATCACACCATACACACAGACATGAACATACCAAAAGTAAAATCCTACATACACAACAAGTACATAACATTTCATTCTTGTTCTCTTAATCATCCAAATCCACTCGTTCTATCTCTTCCTCTCTGTTACCTGGTGAGCCTCAACTAGGACTAAAAAGGCTGTGGCCTAGGGACCTTCTGCTGACAAGTTAAGAAAATATCAAGAATACAAGAAGATAGAATAAACGCCAACACAGTTGCTTGATGCGTTACAATGCAATGGCAAATTTAATGGAAAAGAAATAAATAAATAAATATGCTACAAAAAAGTTAGAAATGCTAGTTTTGTATTATTTTAAGTAAGTCGCGTCAGCGTTAACTAAAAAAAACCCCAATTGTATTAAGTAATTAACAATTGTTTTCCTGTTAACTAAACAACATTTAATTTAAAATAAAGCAGAGTTTGTTACTGTTAAAACCATTTAAAGAGGAGTTTTGAGCAGCAAAATCGTGCAGTAAAAATTCAAAATAAAATTGTCTAATTTACATCTGAAAACACGTAAAAATCATCTATTGATTTATAATGTTAATATATTGAAATGCTATCAAACTTTATGTGTGTAAAAAAAAAAAATTAAAATCCATACTACAATCAACTAACCACAACAGTACAAAATCTAATACAAAATTACAATTAACCTAAATCTGAAAGAGAAATAAAAAAAAAAAAATAATATGGAATAACACAAATAATAGAAAATTTAAAGACAATTCACTAAATGAATAAAAAAGTGTGACAATAATAAACCAACAAATAATTTAATATATTTGTTTAAATTTCCCTTTAATTGGTTTCCCTTTAAAAAGATCAAAGATATGAAGGCTAAGTATATATTATATACACCAAACCAATTGATTTCAGATATTTCATTTTAATTAAACTTTTCAATAATTTATTCTAGACATGCAAAAATACAGATATTTTATGTGACAGGATATCAAACCACATAATATATTTATACAACTTGAGATGAATTCTAATTATGGACTAAAAAGCTAATTAAACAAGAATATTGGTTCTAAAAATGAGGTATCTGAAGTATAGTTGGAGATTGATAAAAAAATCTCAACTGTAGTCAAGTCGATGTAACGGGTATATCACCAACTACCGGTTATACAATTTTCATGAAATTTTCATGAATTGTGCGGGTTCGAGTCTAGATGGCCCCATGTCAATTTTACTAAATTCTAACCAGCATTTCCGCTTACGCACGCGCAAACGCATTTTTGTAGATATGCCAATATTTCAGAAATGGCTCGTTCGCTAAAAATTAGATAAATATAGGCATTTGTGAAAAAATAATGTAGGGTCAATTTTGTTGAATTCTGTCCGTTGATTTCTCTTATATATGCGAAAACGTGTTTTCCTTGATACGTCTATATCTCTAAAATTGCAAGTTCGATTTGGCCCAAATCTGGAGAGAATTTAGGGAATTGTCAATGTAAAATGGAATAGGCATAAATTTTATCAAATTCTATCTACTACTCCAAAAAAAAAAAAAATACTTCTGCTTTCAGATCAGGAAATGTGTTATTTGATATGCCTACAATTTGAAAACGGAGCATTCGATTTGACCCAAACTTGGCGGAAATTTGGAGAACATTATAGAAATAACTTCATTTACTTCACAATTTCATTGAATTCATTGAAATGTTGAAGTGGATTTGGAGTTAGGTTATTAAAATATTGTTATGGGGTTATAAAATTATAGGTTTTATTAAAAAAATTAATTGATACCGTATTGTTTGGTCAATTCCAAACGTTACTGGCATGACACTTACTGCCGTTACTTAGATTTCGTGTAATTTTCAGTACATTTAAAGTAATTTTTACTATGAATTTGTAAAAAAAAAAAAAAAACTTATTTGTGATTGTATTTATTTCCATTGTTCAACCAGTTTGTCTTGGTCTCGATTTCCTCCTTACATATCGAAGTTGTGTGAACTTCACACATATTTTTATATTTTCTAGCTTAATGGGTTTTGTTCTGACTGAAGAAAAATATTGGTCTCATTAACTTCGAACAAACAACAAGTTGAATTTTCCTATGGATTTTTTAGTTGCATCCATTTTACTCGTGAAAACATACGTATTAAGTACACATCACTATTATTAGTACAAAAGGTCGTATGTACAAATTTTCAACTTTTATTCTATTTGTGCTAAATGTGACATTTTGTAGCCTGCAACTGATATAAGTAGTCTGCTACTATGGAAAATAGCAGATGACAATAAAATATGAAATTATACTAATAAAGCATAAAGAAATAATTTGTTTTTATGCTCTCTTGTAAAACAATAAATTACAACGACCTTTTGCACTATCAGTAGTGAAATGCATGTTCAGTTTGTATTAGCATTTTTTTTTAATTAAGAATAATCAGATATGGAATCTTTTAATACGGCACTCTTTCGCATTTTAGTATTAGCTGATAAACGAAAATCGTGGATATCAAACCCGCGAATGTTGAAGGGTAACTGCTTTTCCGAATCGGCTTCTCCTAGAGATTTTATTCTCATGTAAAAAACTGTATACTCTGTGATATAGATATATTTTAGCCAATGGAAACGATGAGGAAGCTATACTGACCTTACTTGGCAGACGTTTTTTTTTCTCCTCCCCTCTATGTCCAAAAAATTCACGGAAAATGTTTCTATTGGCAGTTTCCCTTTTAGGGCAGAACTCTGGACTTCTCCTCTAGTTTTTCGTAGTGTTCTCAAGAAGTTTCCCCATTTCCTCTGTAGTCTTGCCTGTAAATATATGTTATCTTTAAAACTGTTTAAGATGTCTTGCGGTCTTTTATTAGACGAAACTCCTGGGCAAATGAAAAATATGTCAAGCAAACCTGGTGCACCAGGTAAACACGCGTATTTCTCAATTTTCTTCAATATCTCATATATTGGCTTCTTGAGAACTTCTTTTTTATTTAATAAATGGGTTAAAACTGATTTTAAAAATTTACTTTAAGTCTTAAGACTATAGTCGATTTTTGTATATAAAATTGCAATTTTTGAATTTGAGTCTGCTAGTAAATTAGATTACCGCTGCCCAACTTTATTGTAGTTTATATACACTTACTTTTAGAATTATTGTTTTTCTGTATTATTTATTGTTGATAGAGTGTGAATATGTTCTCTGAACACTATTACAAACGCCCTTAATTGTGATAGATTGTAATATCTATAAATAAATAGGTTAAAAAAAAACTTTATCCAATTAGATTAATCAAATTAATAGTTTAAGTTATTTTAATTCAAACGACAAGAAAATAATGGGGAAAATATTCAATGTTAACAAAACAAAAAAAAGAAAAAAAAAAAGAAAACGCGTTTACTCCAAATTTTACGTTTTTCCGTAATACTTTTTTAATTTTTGAAAGTTTATACAAATAGCTAATTATATGAAATATAATGCATGATGGCGAGCTATTCAAATGGTACTGATTAATAAAGATGTACGCATATGAGAAGTGTCTGGTTAAACCAGAAAGAAACAGCATGGTTATGAAGTTATACCACTAGAAATTCCAACAGAATATGCTCTTTTATATTTCACTTAAGTAATACTCAACCGCCAGCAGTCGCTGCGGTGGGCAGTACAAGCGAAGTATTACCTGGCCCTGAGAATTTTATCCCCCTTCCTTCCCGCTCCTGTGGCATCCCCATGAAGGCTTGTTCATTTATCTCAGATAGTTTTATTGGCTTCGAAATTTCAATTTCACTTAATACTATTCCAGCTAGGCGTTGATCTTTGAGAAAAGATTAAAAATGTGGTTATGGGTAGCGGTAAGTTTTCATTTCATAGAACTTATTTCAGCAGAAAAAATATTAATTTTTTTGTATTATTGTAAGGGAATGATGTATGCTATTATCCTTCATATAAAACAAGTCACGCAAATGAAAATCAAGGTATAATACTGAGAAGGAAGAAAGTTTGTTTTCTTATTTCCTTCATGTTGTTTATTTATGTTCCGATTCCACCTTGCTCTGACTGACGCCATTATTGGTTTGGCAACCTACCAATACCACCTGACTAATGAGATATACCTGTGGCATATAGGCAAGCCTCGTGGCCTCCTATGAAGCCAAACCATTAATCCACTTTAGAGGAGCTAATCGGATCACAGAAACCATATGTGTATTTCTTTTAAGGGGAGGGGAGTACATATATACAACTCAGATAATTATAACACCAGTTTGCTGGACTTGAACGAAGCTAGCAAGATGGTAGCAAATTTTAAAGTTTTCAAGAAGGTCTCTCCGAATGGAAAAGTGACAGTGTACCTCGGAAGGAGGGACATCGTGGATCATGTGACGGCCATCGAACCGATTGGTGAGCATAAAACATGGCGGCATTAGATCTAGTTCACTTCTACATTTTATTATACCAGCAGAAGTTAAAATCTTCCTCTTAATGTTTCTTTTTTATTTTATTGGGAACTTCTTTTTTATTTAATAAATGGGTTAAAACTGGTTTTAATAATTTACTTTAAATCTTACGAGTTTTAACCAAAGATATTAAGACCGAACTTTTCTTAGGATGCTCATCGCGGGGATCGACTCAATAAATAAATGCACTACTGTTCCAATAATGTATTCAGGGTTTTGTTTCGTTTTCCTTTTCGCCAGTAGTCGTGGCATTCGTTGTATAATTTTTACTTCAAGTCTGAGTAATACTTGGCTGTATTCATTATTTTATCTACTATTTTCACATCCTGTACTCAAGTTAAATGGGCGGTTAAAGGGGCGTCGACTAGAAGTTATTTAACTTCAATTTAACGCCATTAAATCTTGTTCACTTCTATATTTCATTATACCAGAAGTTAAAATCTTCCTCATAATAACATGATTTATTATGACGTTTAATATCATTTTGACTCAGTCTTTTTACAGAATCACTGTATTTGTATAGAAAAGAGCTAAAATTTAAATGTTTCTGCCAACTCCCAATTAATGATTCGATACGATGGCTTTCACTTATAAAAATAAAAATAAAACATTGCTATAATTATCATATGTATAAAATACATCATCAATTAAGAATCGTAAAAAAATGATAGTAAAAAAGTCCAGTTGAGCTACCAAAAGTAAATAATTCCAGCACTTATGTTCGCTAGGTGACTGTAAAAGCCAATTTGTTCATAATTAGGACATGATCAGTTTATTTGAAAAAAGGATCCTTCTATTCCCTTTTCTGTGAAATCAAAGTAGTTTTGATAAAAGTGTAGCAAGCATTAAGTGAAACTTTTGCTATCAGATCTCATCGAAATCTCTGACGACGTTCGCTTTAGGCAGCAAATCCTACATTTATAACATAGCTAAAACTAATCACGAATGAAGATAAAATTAGGTTAGTCGTGATAAACTAAAATACTTCCGTTAATAAAAAAAAATTCCAATTATGTTTGATAAATTACATTCTTAGTCCCCCAACTTTAGATATTCTTTTTAAACAGTGGAGAAATATATGAAGTGTGACTGGGGTAGCACTCAACAATATTGGGAAAATCAATATGTATAGTTAAAATAAATAAATAAAGATTTATATCGGCGTTTTTTTGCAAAAAGTCATTAAGTGATATTACGTAACCTTAAATCCCTAAGAAGTTTGCTAAATTTTTCCTTCGTGAAATCAGAAATGTATGCGCTTGTTATAAACATATTTTGTATATAAAACAATTGATCATATTAGTGCATTATTGTGGTTTTTATCTATTAATAAGGTCGAAATTCACGAAAAAGGTTCAGCTCCACAAAAATGTACTTATTGACTTTTTGGAATAAACCGACGGTGTATACTAAAAATTAAATGACCTTTGAACATTATATTAAAAATTGGAACAATTTTTTTACTTTTCTTCTGTTACTAATATAAGTATTTTAATTAAGTAAAATTCTTGACGTCTGGTTTTCAACAGAACTTCAAGTTCAATCCCAATGATTCCATAAAACGCACTTTTAGCTATTTATCTGTTTGAAAGTCTGTGCCACGGTTATCTCTTGAACGGGTTGACCAATTTTGCTTTTTTAAGGTTTCGGTTCTCTATGCCTGTGGATAAAATCGAGCATCGTGTTTTCGCAATATGCTGAAAAAAGATGTTTTTCTGTTGAGTCTGACATCTAAATGATTCTAATGATGTAGAAGAAACTTTCTTACAGTTTAGGACATCATAATATTTATAAATATAAATATTATTATGGCCCAAGAAAGAAAATAGAAAAAAAAATGAAGAGGTTTTAAGTTAAATAGTCATACATGTTTTGTATGAATGGGTGAGCCCCATCACCACCACCATCACCATTTACAACAAAATAAAAAAGTTACACTACGCTAAAGTCTTATAATGTGCTATATTTATCAAGTTGAGACCCCTATAGTTTAAGAATCACTTTTATGGTTTTAAATTTAATTACAAGTAATAAAAAAAAAATTGACTATCGTTGTAACATTGACTAAACCAAATCCAAATGATTTCTAAAATGTTTATATTATTATCAATCGTAAAAAACGATTGATAGAAAGTTTTGAATTTAGCTGATTCACATTTATCCTAAATGTAATTTATAAAAATATATGTATATCTAGCAGCGATCACTGGCAAAATATATTTTATGCATAAGAGTTAACTTCTGAATTAACCACATAATATATGTTTTAGAAAATATAAAGTAATTAAAAAAAATCGATATTGTTTATTATTCTTACCAAATAAGGTAAAAATAAATGCTAAGTTAAATTATATTAACAGTATTTTTGATCGTTTAGAGGAGAGACCGTCCCCATTAGTTTTTTTTTTATGTTTCAAATATTACTTCAATTTAGAGGATTTTACTAAAGGGGATTTGCCAACTTGATTGAAATATTTATTCATACGACTTACCTACTAAGTAATGGCTAAAACTTTATTATTACTATAATTTTGCTTAAGATATTTCAGTATTTGTTAAATTGTCCTGTAGTCAGTAGAGATGGGCAAATGCAACTCTGATTACTCACTATTGAGAATTCAATCACTACTTTTGTCAATCGTTTGACATCAACTGAAGTAGTAATTAAATTCTTTGGTACTTTTTTTTTTTTGTTGGTTCCTCCCCTTTCTCGCCTTTAAGGCTAATGCGGGGTTTTCCCGGACCAGGGAGTGAGGGCGGGGATTAATGGCAGAGTTAAAAGACTCCCCGGCACCGGGACTTGAATTCGTCACTGTTTTTATCCAGTTATATTATATATCAAGTTGCGGGGCAACGGCGGTGCTGTGCACACTCGTTAGCCCGTTCGGCAACCCCAACTCCAAATTCTTTGTTACTCAAAAAAGGACAGTATTTGAGTTAAATACTTGGTAGTCAGTACTCAGAGTAGTATTTCCCAATCTCTGGTAGTCAGTTATGTCTCCCTTTCAGAGTCGTAAACTATTTGACCATTGCACGCAGCATAAGCAAAATCATATAATATTATCGAATTATTATTCTGCATATATATTATTATACTTATATTTCAAAGATGGCGTCGTGGTGGCGGATACGAGCTACCTTGCTGACCGGAAGCTTTTCGGGCAGGTGGTCTGCAGCTTCCGCTACGGAAGAGAGGAAGATGAAGTGATGGGCCTCAGCTTCCAGAAGGACCTCTACCTCTGTTCTGTCCAGATTTATCCTCAACTCGAGAAACCGGACTTCAATCTCACCAAGTTACAGGTTATTTGCTAACTAGAAAAACAAAATTAAAAATATATTAAAGAGGGTAATGAGTCTGGGTAAAGGTGAACTTTCTACTCGAAAATTCTGACTCGGAACAATACATTTTCTCTAAAAAAGTTAGGGATTTCTTCTTTCACTAGAACTGTCACGTTGAAGCGATATGACACACGTTTTGGATCAACTCAAATCTAAAATAAGTATTGGTGTTTATATCTGGTCATTGGGCAAGTGGTAGTAATGGGAAAAAGTTAAAGCATCGAAATTCAAATATTATTTAAAAAAAAAAAACAGTGTTACTGACACATCGGGGTGTTCTTTATTTTTTTTTATCAGTCTAGAAATGTACTACAGGGCATTGTAAAATATTAAAACCAATTTTCATATTGTACAACGTCTACTAAAAAGTCTCTAAAACTAATTTTTGTTTTCATCTAGATTACGTACCTATATTTTTTATATCTATTAATTGTACTCATTTGCAAATGAAGTGGATCATTGCATTAACTGTTGATAAAATAATGGGGAATAAACACTTTTTCCAATTTGACACTTGTTGTTTGTTAACACACGCAACGGGCTAATTCCTTTGAAATTAGTTTGAATTGAAAAATTTTAAAATTGAAAAATCTCTCAAACATAAATATAAGAGGGGATTACCCTCAGTTCGTCTTCACAGCTTGTGTTTACTTCATTTTATTTCTCGCAAACATATATTTTTTTTTACTACCGTTCTTAGTATGTTTTATTAACCCTTTTTAAAAGTTCTTCTGGGTATTAAAAAGTCTGAAGGATGTTTTACAGCAGTAAGACAGCTTTTACTGCTTTGGAAAGTAATTATATGCAAATAAATGAAACATCTAACCTCACAAAGTGTGTTTAGTCGCGCATAGAGAAGTTGCCAGAACAGTGGTTGTTTTGAATATACATGTGCTGAGGGATGTCAAATATCAGTTCCGATATTTGTCTTTAAGAGACCAATATATGTAGCTTGAAGAAATCGCTTCGACGCTTTCCGAAGGCTAGTTGATAATTTGTTTGCTGCCTCTAATGTGCAAATTAGCCATCACACAGTTATAAGAAGGATGATATATAGTGTTGCCGAAAATCGGTCTTGGTCTTGGTTATAGGTTGATCCCAATAGATTGTAGATTCCTTGTCAGAGTGAATATACTGCGTGGTGTAACGGTAATATTTCTTTGATCCCTCGGTAAATTTGTAATATTAAGTAAGACCGTGGTGAATTACATTTGCTAAATTGTTATGTCTTCCTAGGTATTCTCTTCCTGCTAATATTGCACATCCTGTTGTGATATGCTGGATTGACTCTATTGCTACTTTGTCATTTATCACTAACATCGTGTTTAAAAATGTACTTGCGATAGGAGTTATTTGCCACAACTTGATCCTGTATAGCAAAAAGAAAACCCTCTGTTTCTGGGAACAGTTTTCCTTTTCGAAGCCATTCTACGGAGGCAGAATGACTAATTCCTGTAGAAGTGAAGGCATTGCAAAACCTACCGTGGAGTAGCTTGCTGCTCCAATCTCTCGTCAGTTCCTCAACTGATGAGGAATTGCTCAACTGATAAATTAACTAAATTTAAAATTTTGAAAAACTGCATTATTTTTTTTATTTATTTACTTTGCTGTTCCACCTCGATCATTAATTATTGCATGAGTAGAACGATGCCATGCTTCTTATTAGTACTTTGATACTATCTTGAGAGATCGTCTTCCATCCTCTAAGATTGCTATATGCAGCTCACCCAGATTGTGGAAGGGTATTCTGTCCTAAAATCCGTTACTGACATTGATCCCATACATGCCCAATGAAATTTAGGTTTAGAGAGCAATCAGACCAATCTAGGCGGCGAATTTATTAATTATGAAAAAATGGATATCACAGTTTATTTCTATGAGGTTTAGCGTTGTCATCCACAAATTATGGGCCAATTGCTTCGTTCATAGGTTGCAGTTGGTTCAGAGGTTCGTTTGTGTGCAGATTACACAGTACCAAACAATAAACCGGATATTTTGGTGCTGTGTAAAAAGGAAAAAACGGCTGCAATAATTGAGATAGGAGTTCCCAGCGAAGTAAATATTCAAAAAATGGTAGGGGAGAAGATAAGGAAATAAGAAAAGGACAGCCAGCATTGTCAGGAATATTTTAAACATTTCCTAAACAGAGCTTAACCCTTGACTCATCGAGTCTAGGTAGGTGAATATTTCCAGCAATGTCTGAGAAACTCTATCAGTTTAACCGAACACTACACACATACACTGACACAATGATAGCTACAGAACACACCTTAGGGCTACTTTCACTAAAAAACCTGGCAGAAGGTTAAAAATGCAACCTACCCAACAAAATGGAGCAAAGAAGTCACAAAATCGTCTCGAAATAAAATCGAATCTAGAGAAAGGGCTACTCTAGAGGATTTGGATCAGCAGGCGGGGCAAGCGGCGCCCCGATGTCGTATGGAACCGTAAAACCGGATCATCGAGGACTAACAAACGAACTCTAGTTCGAGCTTGAAATCGGTTGTGTCTCCTGCACGAAGTAGAGGCCCTAACCGCCAAAGGGTTGAGCACTGACGTATGAGATAGACACGAGAAATGAACAGAGGAGATGAATGGAGAAATCACCAAGTTTTGTGCGATAGCGTCTCGAATTATATGGAGCTTCTAGATATCTGCCACTGGGTATATATAGCTGCCAGAACTGTAGCGTCAAAACTAGGTTTAATTCATAAGTCAAAGCCAGGTGACGAAAACAGTGCCAAGAAGAAGAAAGGTCCCGTGTAAATGAAGGCTCTTGAATATGACTGAGTTTCTGCGTCGAAAGATTGGTGTTCTTACCAATTTCTTAAGAAGCCCAGAGCCTGCCTCTATCGAGATGAAGACAAAAATAGATGAAATAATTGTCTCATATATTGGAGGTGTTCAAAAAGCAGAAATGAAGAAGTTAGCGAAAATTATGGATAATGTGAAGCAGAAATTGGTAGTGTGCGCGAATAGAATGAGGAGTTATATTGTGGTAGCTGAAAGAAAGACGCAGATTAATAGCTTTTCTTACTTCGGAGAAACTTTTCTGCAGACAATTATCTGCTAAAACATCAATGACAAATAAGTGAGCCTCTAATTGATCACTGATAAGCTAATAGTATGGGGCACTGTTAAGTCATTTAATAAAGATACATATTGCCTGAAGGAAGTGAAGGAAAGTGTGGCTAATGTCTCGATGAGAAACTCAAGCAATTGTATAAAGATGATGAAGTGAGGTTTTGGCCGCTGGTCATCTCTGCAAACGGTTTGATTCCGGACACAACAGTGGGCTCCATGAAGGAATCAGAGCTTTCGATGAATTGTTTGAAGCTAATGCAGAAAGCTGTGTTGCTGGGAACAGCGAGTATTGTTCGAAAATTTATGAATGGAACAGATTAATTTGTCTAGCCTACCCTTGACTTAAGTCCGGATATTGTGCTGTAACCAGCAAATGCTATGAAACAAAAAATTTCCCTATATAATAATAATAAGGCTTAGCTAACCCGAAGGCTCGATGCCGATAACACCAATCGATGTCCACATTCGCAATCTTTCCACCTTCTCTTTGGTTTAGCCCTCGAACGCTTATTATTAACAATTATATTAACCGGATACAGTTCATGCTATTCAGTGTTGTGAACCACCTAAATTCTCCAATTGACTCGTTCTTTTTCGGTCCGAATATTCTGCGCAATACTTTGTTTTCAAAAACATTAAGACGTAGCTCATTCCTTTATGTAAGCGGCCAAATTTCACATCCATAAAGAACCGTAGATAGGATAATGGTTTTGTAAATTCTATTTTTTAATTTTCGGGACAGGAGGAGAGAAATAAGTAGTTTGGACAAAGAAAAAAAATAACAAGCATTTCCCGCCTCCAGTCCAACCCTAATATCCTCTTCAATTTACACGAGTATATTTACAGGACCAAATCAAATCTGAGAAATGTTTTTCTATAAAATAATAGTGAATTCCTATTTTTTTTTAAAACTTTTATTATGATATTTACAACTGTATTAGTATGAATACATCTAGTAAATTTGTACAGGGAAATATTATTACATGAAACACGCTTGTTGAGAAACTACCCACTGGTAGCACTCTAATAATTTGTCTACATGAGAAGATCACGAGGCCATCTTCTTTTCAGACGCCTCGGAGGGTTATCAGGAATCGAAGAGGAAGCAAGGTTAGAAACAAGAGGATTCGGATGGTTATGAAGTTTATTATGGAAGGATAGGTATCTGGATTTGGCCAAATCGGAAACATATGGAACATTGAGGTCTTTATTCCTATTTAAAATACATTTTTGATTGGTTTTGACAATTTTTGATTACATTGATCTGTTGGTTACTGCCTGATGGCAAAGATGAACCTATTTATGAGTTATTGAATAATATAACATTCTGTGGACAATAGTTGTAGAGATGTGAGATCACATTGACACTATATGTACAAAAAAAAAAAAAATAATAAAATAAACAGTCGAAAAATAACAATTAAATAATAATCAAGGTATATAAATAAATCAAATAAAATAACTTAAAGATAAGTAATTTAAAAAACAACTACACAAACATATCTGTAAGTAATTATTTGAAATAAAGTGATTCTAAATTTAAATTAAGGTGCGAAAATTGATTTTACTATCGAAAATTGAAATAAATTTATAATAAATGAAAACTTGTTGATTTTATTATATTATGAATGAACCAAAAATAAATGTATGCTTTAACAAGAACAAAGATATAGACTAATTTTAAAAATTGAAATATTGATGTTTTTAGAGATTATGATTTTAGACTTCATTAAAATATAGAGCTGTATTTAAAAAATGCAATATGAAATGAACTATGATTAGAATTTGATCAAAAAATTATTAACTGAAATCAAGAATAAAACAAACAAAATCTAACCAATTGCTGAAACATGGAGTAGTTATTTGTTTTAAACATTGCAAATAGCATACATTGACGGAGGATCGTTACAAACAGAATAATTTCTGTGATGCGCTTATTAAAACTATTCTAAAAGGACGCAGTTATGATGAACAAAAGAACGGGGAACTATTTAGAGCCAACAATAGGCTATTCTTACTTCCGAACTTGTGTGTTGTACTGTACTACATACACATTGTATATGAGTTTCACTCACTCATTCGAAAATGATGCAGAATACGTTTAACTTAAATAACAGGTAATATTACTTATATTATGTATTACGCACTCAATTTATTTATTTGCTGAATATTCAACAAAAAATTGATATTCATCAAAAATATCATAAGTAACTGTGCTGTCATTAATATGACATGACAATGATCTGTAAGAGAACTGCTTGTAGTATTCCAGCATAATCTCTTTTATAAGTTTATATTTTTAGACGCCATAAGGCTAATGGGGAACGATTGGGAAACCAGGTTAGAAACGTGTTTTTAAAGTTTATTACAGTAATAATTATTTTATTATAGGCATCTATTTTGGGTCAAATCAACAAGTATATGGAGCCATTATGAACGATTTTATTCTTAAAACAATAAAGAACATTGATGGGTTCTTATAGAATTTTAAATTGTAAAGAAGAATTCGTTGATTTATTGAAGCACTAAGAATTCTTATGTTTAATTAGATTCGATTTATTGCAGCGTAATCCCAATAAGGCTTTTTCAATGACTTCAAATAAAATTAATTAATATAATTCAATTAAAATTTAAAATTAATTAAGTGGCTTTTATTTCTTTAGAAGATGCCTATTTTAGCTTCATTGTAGAAATAATTCTTTCTTTCTCAGGAACGACTGCTGAAGAAGCTTGGGCCAAATGCTTTTCCATTCACTTTTAAGTTGCCTCCGAACGCGCCTGCTTCGATAACCATTCAGCCTGGACAGAACGAAACAGGAGAACCCTGTGGATTGCAGTACTTCTTGAAGATGTTCGTTGGAGAACATGAAACTGACCGCTCCCACAGGAGGTAGCCTGCTTCTGGATCTTTAATCCGAACTCTTTCCTCTTTGATTATAATGCATTATTATTAGTTACAATGTCACTAGAAATAATTACTAGTGTCGATGAAACTGCAGTGCAAAATAAAGTCCATTAATGAACTTAATTTAATTTTACAGGAGTACTGTGTCATTAGGTATTCGCAAAGTCCAATATGCGCCTTCGAAAAGCGGAAGGCAGCCTTGTACCGTGGTCAGGAAAGACTTTATGCTTAGTCCTGGAGAATTGGAGCTGGAAGTCGTCCTGGACAAACAGGTATGAACACTAATTATCAATATTCAGATCTATTCAATTTCCTGGTCTACGTCTTGTTTTTCATTTACAAGTAACTCGGCAATAAATTTTTCTCAACTTTCAAATAAAGATTTATAATGATATATTATTTCTTTCAACTAGAAGATTATACGTACTAATGTTTAATCTTTTTACGAATATAACATACCTACTTAATAACATCTGTCTGTAAGAGACTTATGTTATATATCTTATGTTATATACTTTATATATATACGTTACATAGCTGTACCGATGTTTTTAAATATTTTAACTTCCACTTACCTGCATATTAAATCTATAGTAAGAGAATGTATTGCAATCGTGAATAATTTCGAACCCGAGTTTTCAACGAAAATAGACGTTTTGAGGTTCCCTGAATCCAATTATCAAGTCTCGTAAAACGGTTCTTATGTCTGCATTAACATTTAATTTAAAATTTTCAATTTATCTCAAAAAGTTTCAGTTTGTACCACACGAGTTTATGAGTAAAAAATCGGTTTCAGAACGACTGATGAAGTTTGATTATTGATGATTTCTTCCTTTAAATGTGATGAGTCTTGAAACATTAACAATCAATTAATTATAATATATCTTAAAAGAAAATAATATATTAGCTGACCTTAGGTACTTAAGAGGCGAGAATTTTACGATTCTTTGTTTTTTAACGTCCTAATTCCTCAAATTATCGTGGATTGATAGCAAGGAGAGTATGTTTTTTTTGGCTGTTTCGTTAATATGGCTTCATTCAGAGTATTAAAATGTATGTATGTAAAATGTATCGATGCTTTCGAATCAACTTTTAAGGGACTACTTAGTCGAAACGAAGCAGCTTTGGCGTGGCTAGGAACCGAGATCAAAATTAATAACTTATACTCCTGTTTAAGTTGTAAGTGGAATTACCTCTCTCTTTTTGGTGGTTCTTGTTTACTTGTTTGGAATATTTTTTTTTTTTTATACCATCCCGATTTATTTTTGTGATCGGGCAGAACTTAGTTTTCCTGATTTGAATGCTTATTAGATTCCTTCTAATACTAGGTAAAAAAAAGTAGGTCCGTAATGGGATCAATTTTTTGAACTAGGACCCATATTTTGAAAATGTTATGAAAAAATTTCTGTTGAAACCCATTTACTTTATTAATATTATTTTATTTTAATATCAGAGATATTAATTTAAAACGAGCCGTTGAAACTGTTATTTCCGTTGAAAACTCGGATAAAATGTTTTACGTTCGCAATATATTCCATTACTATTGGAATATATATTTCATATATTGGAAAGTGAAAATAATAATTGATAAATATAAACCACGAAAACATTTTTTGACTTGTTTGCATTTTATGAATTTAATAACACGAAATATTTTAAGAGGGTGAAAACATTTTTTTTATAAATATAACTAGTAAAATACATGGTATAATACATAGCTGAACTAGGAGTTTTCCAGGAGGTCCTTGCTTCGTGTTTCCACCCTTCTTTTAACCTCTTTCTCCTTCCAATAAAAAACAGATTTGTAACAGTAATTTAGATAATATATTTTAAAACAGTGGAAAGGGCAAAAAATAATTGGTTTAGTGTTTTATTCAATACTTCACTTGTCATTTTGAAAACACGATTTCGCAGGTCTATCACCACGGTGAGAGAATCGCAGCAAACATATGTGTGCGGAACAACAGCAACAAGATGGTCAAAAAGATCAAAGCGATGGTCCAGCAGGGTGTCGACGTGATGCTTTTCCAGAATGGCCAGTACAGGACTACCATTGCGTCACTCGAGACCGAGTAAATCTTTATCTAGATTTCATTAGCTCATCTGTATTCAAAACATTAGTTGTTTTTTTTATCCTGTTCTGTTCCAGTGAGGGTTGCCCTATCCAGCCAGGTTCCAGTATGCAGAAGGTAGTCTATCTCACTCCGGAATTGGCTACCAACAAAGAGAGAAGAGGCATAGCTCTGGATGGTCAAATAAAGGGAGAAATGGCTAATTTGGCGTCTTCCACTTTGTAAGTTAGTAGGTGGTCAGTTTTTAATGCTGGTCATTACTAAAACAGTTTGCCGTATGAATTAGTTACTAGTGAATTAGACTTTTTGAGCGAGATACACATATACATTACTTTGTGGTTACTTTTTGAGATATTTCGATATTTTAGGTGTTTATTTATTTTTAATTCATTTCCTTTTTCTCTGTACTGCTTCTTGTATAGCTTTTTATCCGTGAAGTGACCAAACGTAATCACCCATCACATTGACAATATCTTCTTTATGTCCAGATGAAACCGTTGCCAATGCTTAAAATCAAGCTAGTTGTGCTAGAAATGGACTTTAAGTGATTTTAAAAAGAGTTTTGAAATTGCCTATCATATTGGCTACGATAATTTTATAGTTGGGGGCTTTCAAGCTGTCCAAAAACTGAATCACAACTTCTTTTTAAATGATATCCAAGTCTCCTTTCCTTTGTACCCATGCTTCGAAGCTGGAATCAAATTTCATTTTACGAATATCAGGACTGAATGAGCAACAGTTATTTCCTTTGTGTAACAGAAAACTTTAACCTTAAAACTAGTTTTCGATGAGTCTATAAAAAGTCCCTAATATTCCTTTTTGCATTCCAAATTTTAATTAGGCTGTCAATAGCATGGCAGTCAACTTGAAAATTAAGCAAACTGTTGATATCTCGTTGTTCGTGGAAAACTATTGCCCAATTATCTCGTTGCGGGCAGATCAGATAAGATCTGAACGATAAAATTTAATCCGTACCAACTACCGGTAGGACTGACCCACTACATAAGATACCTACCCAGAGGTAACAACTGCACAAAGGACGCCCACAGGTAATAAGAGATGCCTAAGCCAACATAAATGGGTGAGTCGATTTGCACAATTCATATAATCTACCAATTTATCAAAATTCACTGCCTGAATAAGTCGAATGTTGCCAATAAGTTGAATGTTTCCTATTTTGAACTCATGAGAGTTATTTGCCTTAATTAAAATTGGAAAGTTGCCTAAACACTTGTTCTGTAATGGTAAATTGGTGTTCCACATTCCAATAAATGTAGAATTTATTGCCGATCTAATATCACCTGAATGATTAAAATTATTTTTTTCCATTTTGAATATTAAATTTGTTTTTAATACTCAAAGGTGTGAGACGTTGGTAAGTGTTAAATATTTATTTATATTTTTGAAATCATCACAGCAAACAACACAGAACTTATGCAAAGTTATTAAAAACGTTTTTCCTTCGTAGGCCTGTCTTATTTTTTGTGCTCTGTGATGATAATTGACCTTTGTTTCAGATTCTCCTGCGGTGACCAGAAAGACATCTTCGGGATTGTGGTCTCCTACGCAGTTAAGGTGAAGCTCTACCTCGGTGCCTTGAGCGGTGAGCTGGCCGCAGAACTGCCAGTCATCATCATGCACCCCAAGGTACTGTGTCAAATGGATCGACAAAGAAACAATATAATAGGCAATGGACCATCGCCAAACTACGTCGGAAGTGCATTAATCGTTACATAACTTTCCTGTTTTTCACGATGTATAAAGTTGATTGTACATTGTCATCTAGAAAAATTGACAAATGGCTGAGGAATCATGGACTGTTGTAAGACGGACCAATATTTTTAATATTATTATATTTACCGGTTTATCACGACCACCTCAGAAATTACAGTTGCAGTATTACTTTTGTCCCTAAGAATCGACTTAATTAGCAACTGACTCGGTGAGTATTCTAGTCCTGATACGGGCGTACATATTTCTATACTCCTGGAGCCTCAAAGAAATCATTTTTGAAGTATGTCCCTTTTTTTATTAGTTTTTTTAGCGATTCCCACTCCCTTTTCTGAGAGGCCATTGGAACGTGGATACTGTGGACTGGAAGTAATAATTTTAAAAGTCCATTTCTTTGTAAGAGATTGCATCTATTCACTTGCGAAAGGATTATTATCACATCTCATAGTCTCTGGTGTTCCATGAGTGCTGAAGAGAACTTTTAGTTTTTCAATTATTCTCTTAAAACTTTTGGTTTTAAGAGAAGTAATCTCTAGCCATCTTGAATAATAATCTTCAACAGCAAGAAAATATCTTCCATTTTACTCTCCAATGTACATTCCAAGCTTCTGAAATGGGTATGCTGGTTTATCAGACGGAGTAAGTGACTCCTTGATATTATTTTGGAATAGTTAACATATAGGACATGCCGTAATTATTTACCTATGTCATCTGTCATATATAAAATTTATTTTTTTCTTGCAATTGGTGTTACCCAAATGAGCTTTATCATGAATTAATTTTACCAGAGCCAATATTTTATTATAAGGAACCACCATTCGCTTTCCAAGAAATATAAGACCTCCATTTATAAATAATTCGTTTTTGAGACCATACAATTTTTTTAACTCTCCATATAAAAGTTTACGATTTGTTCTACTCTAGTCGAATCAATGAGTTTCATCAACCAAGAACAGATATCGTCTTCAATTGTAGCATTTTGCAAGTATTTTATTTCTTGACTGGGGATTGGCGAAAATTCCTCAATAGACATAGCATGTACAACCTTGGTCATATCAATATCTTCCGTGAAGTCTCCTTTGAGTGATATGTACGTGAAAGCATATCGACAATGTACATTTGTGAACCAGGTATTTATCCTAATGTTAACATATATTTAAATAATTTTAATTGCAATCGGTGAAGCCGAGCAGAGTTTTTATAAATTTATTTAAGCATTACAGCGATTATTGGTTTGTGATGTATAAATATTTTAACGTTTTCTTGCACATAGAAAAATTGGTGAAAACAATTAGTAGCAAAAACAATACTTATCATTTCCTTCAAGATTTGACAATAGTTTTTCAAAATTATTAAGACTACCTGAGCCAAAAGCAACAGGTTGCCCATCTTGTAGGGTTCAAGGCCTTCCTTGCTTGCATCACATTCTATTTCAAATTTTTTTCAGGATCACAAATGCGCAAAGTAGGGAAGGATGCAACTAATTTTTTTATATTTTTAAAAGATTCTCTTTAAGTGTCTTCCTAGATCCATTCGGCTTCTTTCTTTAAGAGTTCTCGGATTGGAACAGTAACCTTCCAGTATCATGGTATAAATTTATTGATGCAATTAATAGAACATAAAATCTACCTAAAATCGCTGATTCCTTTTTAAAGTTTTAGGTTCGTCCATATCTTGAATAAATTGAATCTTCAATGGATCTGGTTTAATTCCCTCTCTTGAGAAGATTAGACCAATGTATTTTCTGACAATTTTTGGCCTCAGTTTTAAGCTCGGTAAAATATTGGTCAAAAGTTTGGTCTTCTATCTATTTTATTTAATTAAATTTAAATGATTACATTGCAAGGTTTACTCTAGGTTTACAATAATTATCATAATATTTGAGAACCTTATCTAAAGTGTCTTTTCTTTATCAAAAGTACTAAATACATCTATGGCATCATCATGTGGGTTAACCAGATAATAATTTATATATCTTCGGGACTAGTATTTTTATTAGATGATACCATATTTAGATTGAACATATTTTTCCATTTGGGCCAAGATGTAAGCAAACTATTGTCAAATATTAAGGATTTCAATTTAAAAATTGCTGCAGATGATGAATTCTCTTCCATTTTAGTTAGTCTTATATTATTTGCTTACCCAAATCTAATTACAGAGGTCCATTAAGATAACCCACAGTTCATATCTTGAATCAAATCACACCTGACACCATGTTTTATTAGTACATTATCTCATATTACATTATATAAAACAACAAGAGAGATGCACAGGGCTCAGTCACGTAGTTCAAAACAACAGTCTTTGTCTTCCGTTCCAACTACAACAACAGTACTCCAAAGATGTAGTAATCCTAACAGGTTAAGTTAGAACTTACTACTTTGTAAGTTTTGAGGCTTCAACACATCTTACATCAACATTTAAATTGCAGTTAATCTGCTATTCACCGCACCTAACCACAATACATTACTCGATTTAATCTCCATCACTGCTGTGCCATCTTATTTCTTTAAAGCATCATCTCTTTAAAGTTCTCTATCTATAGATTTCGAGATCTTTCACTTCTTCAACTCTCTTTTGGACATTACTTAAGGCTACACCATCGATGAGGCTACACCATCGATATGAATCAATTTAAATTACATATATTATTATGAGTATCAAAATATTCAATATAAATATGAAATGCAATCAAATATACATGATTTGTTTGTATTATATATATTTATTGTTTTTTTTTCAGCCCAGCAAGATCCCGCTGCTAAAAGCTGATAGCCAAGCGGAAATTGAAACGTTCAGACAAGACACTATCGACGTGGATGCCATGTGATTTGCTACGATCGAATACTTCATGAGCTAATATGCTATAATTTCTTATTATTCTTGATATGAAGCTAGAAAAGGAACATTAATATTATCGTTATATGGTTAATCATATATTTAATACACGTTGAATAGTTATTTTCTTAAACCCTTCAACGCGTTAAAGTAATTATAGATGTATAATAAAAATATGTTATGACCATAGGATATTTACTAATAATTATTTTTAAGGATAAATAATTTGAGCAGGCAGAGGAAAATTCGTTTTAACTGGTGTTATATATTTATGTTTGTAAAAGACAGTTGTATTTTATCTAAAAAGAAATATTACTTAAAATATTGTATATAACTTGAAAATATATCTATATGGCAATCGACGTTTCTGTTTTCATTTGTTCATTTCATCCTGGAAATAAAACCTTGCTTGTTAAGTAAGATAAATATAATATTTTCTTTAATTTATCCTCTCTGTCATCGTATTTACCAGTTTTTTCGACAACTACATATTTATTTTGTAATCGGTTCTAAAGATTAGGTATTTTGATTCGTCGAGTTACTTCTTCTTTCTTCATTTTCGTACCACCTAACTTTTTAAAGATTGAAACGCATTCAATATTATCAATCGCTTGGAATTTAGGCATTTAGTAACAGGCTGATCCTTGGTCTTCACTTAAGACAGGCTTCGGATGCCATCTATCCATCGAGCTTGAAATAGTGTTTTGGGCAATTAAAATTATTATAAATTAGTTCAAATTTAACTATGGGTACTATTTCATAACAGTACCTCTGTTACATTTATATAAGTTTATGACAAATGACTATTACGATAGTACGGCTTCCACTATATCGTCCTGTCAGCCGCATAATATTCAAGTGAATAAAAACAAAAAATACTAAAAAACGTTTCTAATTCTTTATTGTTGCAGTTACTAGATGCAATAATAAATAGCAGAATGTCGAAAGTATCTTTTTCTTGTAAAATGATATTTCTGAACAAAATTAAATGAATGAAAAATGCGACTTTTAATATTCGATAGTTTACAGTTAATATGACGATACGTATTTCCAGTTATGGTAATTTGAATACTTCTTGGCTTTGATCTATCAACTGTAGAATATTTATAACAGTCTTGATTGGTTTACCATTGTCATGAGAACTGTTTATTTTACGTCAATAGAAAGAATAATGCTAAACTCGATCTTAATAAAAAAAAGTACTATAACATCAAATAAAAATTATGTGTCAACGGACAAAATAAATAAATGTTAAAAAAGAGCCTTTCTTCTTTATTATCACATACAATCAGCGTTTCATAAAAATGCCAAGTAAAAAAAATAGGTATTTTCGAATCTCGCCTCTTAAGACTCAGCTACCGTATGAGTAATCTTGTCATCTGGATTCATCGTATTATGAAGTCCGTTCATGCAGTTCCATGTATGAGAATATATTAGTCTCAAACTATGTCTCTCAACAAGCGAAGGAGCAAGGAAGGAACATCACTTCCGCATGTTCCATCTGGTGCAGCTCTGGTTGGGGAACTTACTACATCCGTAATCGTGGGATTGGAAGGGTAAGTAGAACTATATTGGTCAGCGGAATTAGGTTTAGTGAAATCAACTTCTAATTGTCATTTCCAAGACCCCAACAGATTACATTTCTTTTTTTTTTATTTCAAGATTAACCTATAATGTTTGATGTTTTAAGGCTGATAGTAATATTTTGATCAATTAGAAGTGACACAATTACCCACAAACTTCTTTCCTCTAATTTTTGTCTAAACGTTTTAGTCTAATCTCTCTATTTAAAGATAGGTACATTTTTTCTAATGTTAATTATTTTCATAAATATATTTTTCATTACAATCAAATACTCTTTCCATATTGCATGCACTAAAATATTACAAAAAGTCCTTTTATGAGTTTAAGTGGATCACAGTGCCAGAAGACATAATCAAGCACAGCAAACATATTGTTATATATATCTTTAAGTAATTCATAAATATATATTATACACACTTCATATGTAAATGATGGACATTCATGCTCAAAAATAAACAAATTACAGTTTTTCATACGTATTTACGAAATTTGGTAGAATATTTAAATTTACCATAACTTCGAATTCATAACAGATAAATTAGTTAATAATATATCCGTTTAAAGAAACAACTATATTATACAATTTTCTTTCAAACGCTTTTCTTGTAAACCGAAAGGCTGTGGTCTTAGAATGAAGTGTTTGACAAAAAACGCGAGGCGAAAATAAATTATTCGAAAATTGTCTATTTAACTTAGCGAATATCTCAAAAGGTATATATATATATATATATATATATATATATATATATATATATATATATATATATGACAATGTTTCGTCTGCGACCTCTTGTTTTCAAGATATATGAGAAAATATGGAAAAAGTGCACCCACCATGAAGAGGAAGGGCTATGGGCGGGGACTTATTTTTACCCCTTAAGTACCCTCAACGAATTCCCAAAGTCATTTGCTTGTCCATCCTCCATGCACTCTACAAACACCTTTTTGCCATTCATTGACTGGACTAATACCAACAGTTCCTGAAACTGAGGCATCTTCGAAAATACTATACACGCATTACATGAGTGCTGTGCACTTGGGCTCAAAAGGTTATCATGTTTCAGGCGTCTTAGAACTGTTCCTTGCAACCTAATATGTCTTTATAGATATATAATTTTGTTTTAAGTAATAACACCATTTGTTTGCATAGGCGCAGTCGAGGTAATATTAAAAAAAAAGAGGGGATGAAAATACCATTTCGCTAACTTGATAGGAAGAAAAAAAAAATCTCATTGAATGAATAAACTAAAATCGATTAAAAAAATAGGAAAAGTCGACTATCAGCTAAGGCCTGTAAATAAGTCCATAAGTATTTTATCTCCGCCTAAATCACGAGAGTTTATCTCTATGCCTCAAATCTTTTCAAACTTCAGGCATTTCTCCTAGCACCAGAATCAGTATTTAGAATAATTTGTACAAGCATTTGTCAAATAATAAATACAAAGAAAATAAAATCCAATTAAAAAAATATGTATAAATAAATTATAAATTTATCTTTAAATATATGGTATTATTTTTTTATATAATGACTACGTTTTATTATAATTACGTTAGTTGTCGCTCATAATAATATACATAATATAAACTCGACAATTTGTTTTGGTCGTTCGAATTTCAATAAAAATACAATGACTGCGCCTATGTTTGTTGTTAGCGTGCAACGTCGAATGAGTCAAAATAGGTTGCCCTAAGTAAATCATGGAATTGCCCTAATTCAAATAGGACGAAATCATATGTTGTAGATGTATCTTGTAATTGTTTGGAAAATGGATTGAGATTTAGAGATAAGTATGTGTTCAATAAATAGTGTTGGGGCCAGGGGGTACTTCAAAATCGAAGTACAAATATTTCCCCGGTGAGTTTCCTCAAAGGTGGAGAAAATTAGAGTAAAATTATATTGTGGGGAAGAAGGAAAAATAAAAAGAGTAAATATGAGACCTTTAAAACAAGAAAAATAAAAATATTCAATTAATTAAATATGTTAAGATAAAGAAATAAAAAATCCCCTTCTAAATGCTTACAATATTTATTGAGATAAAAAAATATATACAATAGTTAAAAAACAAATAAACAATGGAAAACGATTATTGAAATACACTAAAATAAAATGAAACATAAAATACAATGTTCAGTAAAAATAAAACCAAATCAACCTTTAATAGGAAAATATCAGCTTCCAAAATTTAAGAAAAAAAATAACTGTCAATAAGAATAAAACTAATTTATCGTGAGAAACAAATCAAATTAACATTTAAATGTTTTTGATAACGGTGAGAATAAACAAAACAAAAAAAAACAAGCCAAGTTGGAGGTTCTGCTTCCAACCAGGTTACCTTCTACGATGTTTAGTTGTCAAAGCAGTCGATGGAGGGGAGGTCGATATGCATATCGTCCTGATGACACTCGATAATACATACAGCTGGAATCTTCAAAATGGCGCAGGTGAGGTGAGATGAGACGAGACGGGCCGGTGAAAATGGTGGGGTTAAACGTCCAGCACAAACGAAAGATAGCTCCAGACTGACGACCCGGTAGTATTATGGCACTATTTTGATGTCTTGATCCGTAAGACTGGGTATTACTGCGGGGCTGGTGCGTATATACAACGCGATAATACATCGCAAAATAAACCTAAATATAAAACAATGTACAATTCTGGGACAATTATCCCTCAGTTTTTACAAAAAAAAAAATATAAATAAATGGTGAGAAAAAATAATAATTAAAAAATAAAGATATGAGTGTATGCAGCTTTAACAGATAGTGTTACAATATGTGGTTGAAATAAAATATATAAATAAAATTATAAGAACAACAAATAAATAAATAGCATACAAATTTTATTGTTTCAATAAAGAATAAAAACAATTAAAATATAACTTTTAACTAGGAAAAGAAAATTGAAGCGATACAATATTTTAAAACACAATGATGAATAGTGAAATACCATGAAAAAAACTTCAGTGCGTGCTTTAGACCACATGATAGAAGTGAAAATATTAACAAAACCCAGTAATAATTAGAAATATAAATTCATAAAGTAATTATATATATATATATATACAATAATCATTATGTATAAATTACTTTAGTAAACTTTACTCCGACTGATCGTCATTTATATCATACTCTGAAAATTATATAGGAGGATTTTGATAGCTAAAATATGTGATGAATACTTTTAATTTAAATCGATTTCCTAAATATCAAATAAAGCCCCGACATTTTTTTTTTTTAATTTCTGTAACGGGGTCAGTAAGTAATTTGTCGAAAATCTAATAAATCTAATCGTAATAATCGAAAATCTAATAGCAATACACAATTTCTTATTTTTACGGCTGATTAAAAAATAGTATCTATATTGGCTTCCACAATTAGTTTTCTGAATTCTCATTTAAATTTTGGAATATTTTAGTCCATATGTTCAACAAAACTCGTTATAGTTTGGTTTTCGACACTATTGTTTTCCATTTTTGCCTCTCTAACACAGCGTTGAGTTAAGATACAATTTATAATAGTAGCTCATTACAAAGAGGATGAAATGCTGAACATTTCCCTCTTGATCGAATTCCCTTACAGTAGGAAGGTCCTATTTTTAGTTCCTCAGTTATTTTAATTGAAATGCAAAAACACTTAAATTAGTCGACTCGAACCGACTTTACCCGAATGAGCGTTACATATCCGAGCGTGACGGCTTAGTATCTAGACTATCCATAAGAAATTGCAAAGCACGGCTAAAGAAGTTTTCACTTCAAAAAAACACGAACAGTTAATTTAA